TATTATAATAAAATTATTCTAATTATTTACTATTAATTAAAAGTAATACTGTATCATTTTTAATAACAACAATATTAATAATAGTAATAATTATTATTGTATTTATTATTATTATTATTAAATAAGTAAACAATAATTTTTAATACAATATAAATAAATGTAAATTTTTATAGTTTTTTTTTGTGTTATTGTTAAACAGTGTAATATTAAAGTATTACTTTTGCTTTTATATTAATAATATTAATGAGTAGTGTTATTAAAAGTAAAGGTATTACTGTTTTTTTCATTTATTGACAGAGTGAAATGTTACCTAAAATCTGATCTAGACAAAAATGAGTTTATTTTACGTGGTGTTTTTGTTGTTAACACAGTGTTCACTCTCCTGCGAGACAAGCGTTCATGACTAAAGAAAACCTTTCAGCCGAATTCTCCAAGAAAATATCTCCTGTCAAAAAAGGCCATTTATTAGAGGGTATGAATTTTTTACTTCTATGTTTATGCACATTTCCTGTCTGCTGACGTATTTCCATTCTCTAAACGTTCCCTCACAGAAGAGCCAGGATTGGACCGAACCCTCAGCGCCGATCACCAACAGGAAGGTAACCGCTGATCAGATGTCTTGCACTGATCTTCCTGTTTCTGTTATCTCAGTGTGTTGCAGTGATGCTGTGGTTTGTTCTACTGTAGGCTGTGTGTTACTGAACCTGCTGCTGCAGCGGCCGCTGGATCCGAGCGCTTTGGGTCTGTGTCACCTGCTGTCCATCAGTCCTGACACTCTGCCGAACATCCGGTCACCGCTCGGATACGTCAGCCTGTAAGCCACTGGGAGGAGCATCCTAATTAAACACATCACACGTCTGACTGTATTTGTGCGTGTCCTGAAACATGAGAAACCTACTGTAAACATGGGCTTCCATTACATGCATCTGTTTGTTTTGGGAAATCGTTGGCCCACTTTTACAACATTCATCATACAATGCTGTAAGGATGGAAACTTCCATTGCATCATCTGTTTGGTGGTATTTTCCAGTGGAACGTTTGAACAATGTCAACTTTTTAAACGCTGATCAAATATACTTTTAAGTCACATGAGCATAGATGCATACGGTTCATTAGCAAAGCCATACAGAACACGTCATTTTACAGCTTCACGTTCATTTCAGACTTTTTATTATTTTTTTTAAATTAAAGAATAGTTTTTAAAAGACATTTTACATCATGACATTTGCTGATTTTTATATTACTATTAACATAGTTATTATTATTATGAAAATTATTTTATTATTTATTATTAAAATTGTATTTGTAGTATGTACTAATTAAATTAAATAGTACAGAATACTGTACTGATAACAATAACTAGTATTATTATTATTATTGCTAGTAGTAGTCATAGCAGTCGTTTTTACATCATATTTGCTTTATGCATTTTTAAACATTAAAATATTATTTGTTTTATTTTATTTATTATTAAATTAAATATAGAATATTGTTAACAATAATTCTTATTAATGATAATATTTAAGATCATATTTACTTTTTCATTTTTAAAATATTAAAATAGTATGATTTGTTGTATTTTATTATCAAATTAAATAATAACTATTATTATAATATATATTATTGATTATTTTTACGTCATGACATGCATTTATTAAAACATTATTAACATTTTATTTTATTATTTAAGTTAAATATAGAATATTATATTAATTACAATAACTATTATTATTATTGCTAGTAGTAGCAGTATTCATTTTTACATCATGACGTTTGAAATATTACTTTTGAATTTATTAAAGTATTATTTGTTATTTTATTATTTATTTCATTAAATATTATAAATAATGTACTAATACTAATAATAAATTATTCATTTCTGAAAGTAAAACAACAACAACAGGAAGGCCTTAAAATATAGGGGAACATAAAAAAAATCTTAAATTAGCAGATTTTCAGGCCTAGAAAACTTGTGGCAATTAAATTTTTATTGTATCTTTAAATATCTGCTTGAAAAGGTTGGACTGTAGTGAATTTCTTTCTTCTTCCCTCTTTCTTCAGGGGATCTTTGGCAACTTCCAGCTCGTCCTCCACAGAATTCAGATCGCTTCACCGTCCTCGAGCTCGATTCCATCAGCTGCAGAGTCTGGCTACGTCTGCTCTGACCGCATTAGCTCTCCATCACCCCGATAGTGTCCCACATAACCCAGACGCTGCTCTCCAAACCGCCCAGCGCTCCTGTCCGGCCGCGGCACACTTCCTGCCCCTGCTCAGCTTCCACATCAGCACGTACTGCCAGTCGCTGGAGAGCTCAGCGAAGGCCTCGCTCCACGGCAGCTCACTGTCGGGATCGTCTGACTCCAGCCTGACCTCGAGTCTGGAGGAGTCTCTCAGCGGACAGGAGGAGTTCGTCCTGGCCGCCATGAAAGCGCTCGGTCATATAGTGTGCTACAGCAGCGAGGCTCTGGAGGGGGTTTTGTGCCATAAGGAGGATGTGAACCGGCCGCAGGGTTCGAAAAATCTCCTCAGCGCCTCTGAACATCTGAACGGGGACACGCAGACACAGCTGCCTCTTCTCAGGAGGATCCTACAGCTGGCAGATCCGGCCTTCATTACCGCCGCTGGCCAGAGGCAGGCGCTAGTGAGCGCTAGTTTGAAGACACTTAGTTTGCTGGCCGAGAGAGCGCAGGACAACCAGCTCATGAGGTTTAGTATCCTTCATATACTGTTATAGTTTTTGTTCCTATTTTGAATTAGATTTTATTTTTATGTACACCGGCAGCCATATCACCCTGTAGCCCAAGACTGGTTGCCCACTGAAGCTAAGCAGGGCTGAGCCTGGTCAGTACCTGGATGGGAGACCTCCTGGGAAAACTAGATTGCTGCTGGAAGAGGTGTTAGTGAGGCCAGCAGGGGGTGCTCACCCTTTGGTCTGTGTGGGTCCTAATGCCCCAGTGTAGTGACGGGGACACTATACTGTCAACAAGCACCGTCCTTCGGATGAGACGTTAAACCGAGGTCCTGCATTATTATTATTATTATTATGTTTTCTGTTTGAAATTACATTTTAGTTAAAGTTTTAGTAATGTTGTTTTGTTTTAGTTTTTTTGTCATTTTTATTAGTTATTTTTCTGTATAGTTTTTATTTATTATTATTATATATTATATTTTATTTACTATTTATTCGTTTTAGTTTATTTCGTTTTTTGGACTGCTTAAAATTAAACTAAACAAAAATGAGAAATATTGGTAACTAGCTAAAATAAAATATTTATTTTTTAAGATTTTATATTATTTCAATTAATACTTATATTAAGTAACAAAAGTTTTTTATTGTTTCCATTTTAGTTTACTATAATAACCCTGTTAAGTGCCCATGTGAGTGTCATCTATCCATCTATCTATCTATCTATCTATCTATCATCTGTCTG